TGTTTGTCTTCTATATATGTTTTTATTTATTTGTAAGAGATGAATGGATATAATAAATAAGTAATTTAAAATGAAAAATCAAAAGTTCAAAGCTAATGATGAATCTGATATCATTTCAGCTTTAGAATATCTCTGCTAGAAAAGTTGCAATCACCATTCACCAAGTAATTGTACTTTAAATTTATTTTTTAATTATTTTAACTCAGAAAAAATTAATGGATTTCTTAATCTTTATTTAAAAAGTTAATTAAATTTTGAGATTACTATTATTTGCTTTTTAATTAATCTTTGATTTCTTTAAAAAATAATAAAATATTAAAGTCAATTATATTAACTTACAATTTAGATAGAATAACTTTATATATGTTTGATTGAGATGAATCAGGTAATAATTAACAAGAGATTATATTAGTTTGTTTAAAGATGAATTTTTAAGGCAAAAGAGCTTTTTTTGTTTACATTTATTGAAAAGCATAACTAAATAATAATAAAAAATACCATATAATACAAAGCTAAAAATAATAGTAAAAAATGAGTGAGATTATTTTCTTTGAATCAAATCTAGAAATGTTATTTGATACAGTAGGTATTATTATTTAGAATTAATGAAATAAATATTTAAAAACCAAAATTGGGGCTAATAAAGCAAAGTATATATTAATAAAGAAATCTAAATCTCTAAATAAATAAATATGATTTTATTTTATTACCTTAATTATAATTCTATCCTTATTCTGCGTTATTGGAAATAAAGGTGAACCCAGATATTTATAAATCCTAATAAAAATAATTTTGTTATATAATTCAACTGAAATGCTCCATATTTTTTAATTCAAATACAAAAAGATCATTAATATAAAAATTTAGAGTGCCAAAGAAGTATCATAAATGAATTGGATATTCGTTCAATAGCTGTTGAAAAACTTTTTTATTGATAATTAAATCAAAAGATGAAAATCGTTCAATTTGTTCTATCATCAGTTTTTTTAAATTTGTCAATTAATATAATAATTCAATCTACTCATAAATATACTTCAATCCCCTTTTACCTGAAACACTTTTCTCCCATTTTATATATTCTTGATACCTAAATGATGCTATATGATTTTTAAATTAATTAAAAATGACTAAACTGATAATACGCTATTACCATGATCATGTGAGGAGTACAAAAAGTTCAACTTATTCATCATAAAATCTACATAATCCCTATCTCCTGATATAAATTGATTCCTATTTATTTAAAATCAAAAAATTAAAATTACTAATGTTCTTTAAGAATTAATTTATTGCCAAAAGATATTATTTAATCATCTGAAACAGAAATGAAGTGATTTTTCTATTCTCTAAACATCTAGCATGAAATAATTTATATAAGTTTTTCTAATAAATTAGACATTTCTATTTGATGTTTAATTAAATCATTTCCTATTCTTATTAAATTTTTGTTTTGTCTTTTCATGCAATAAATATTCTAGTATTATGAAATTAATATTTTTTAATTTTCTTGATAATTCTTCACTTTACTGGCGTTTATAAAATTAATTTAATTTATTGTTAATTTTTTGATTCCATGGTAAGTTAATTTTTTTTATTTGCTCAAGAAATGATTTCTATTTAAATTCATCTGTCGATCCAATTGTCCGTTAATTAAAGATGCACTTTATTTTCCAATTATTAACTCAGTTCCTTACTTAACCTAATTATTTGGACAAAATTAGATTCAATAACACACAATATTTTTTATTGGCATTCAATCTCTTTGATTCTTTTATTACAAATTTCTTTCTCAGAAATTTAGAGTAACTTACAATCAAAAAATGGTTATTTATTTTCTGAAAATATCCTATCATTTCTCCAAACCAGTAGCCATTACTTAATTGCGATCTTTAAATTAAAATCATTCACTTTTCTATGGCACATTTTGGAGACTCTCTATTCATTTTTTTTTTATAGCTTAAATATTCTTAGAAGTTATTTAATTTTTGCTCTTTCTTTTACATATTTGTTCTTTTTATGAAAAAGAGTTTTAAAATTATAATTATGCTCACTATTTTAATTTTCATTTTCATTGTTATTTGAATTAAATTATACAAATTAACAAAATTGCTTCAAATTTCTGTTAAGTATTGTTATCATTCAAATGGCTATTTATAATTTTCTGGATTTGGAAAACAACTAAAATTAAAGAAAAGAAAAAAAATTATTTAATTCTGCAAATTTATTCCTAGTCTAATTATAAGCTCTACAATAATATTATTGTGTTTATAAGCTAATCAAAAAAAGTAATTTATGATTAAAAGCAAATTTGAATTTATAATAAAACAAGAAAAAATACTTGTCTAACCTATTAAGTAAGACATCAAAATTTTACATTGTTATTTTTTTCCAAAAGCTTTAGATCAATAGTAATAGTTTTTATTTTAGGAAAAGAATATCTATTAGACTTGCATAAAAAACAAAAGACTCATAGAATTAGGAAATGAGTAGATAAAGATTTATAAAAAAAGAAATGCATTTTGAATTAACAATAGGATTATAGAAATCTGTAAAATGATTCTGCAGATAAAAATTCTCATACAGTTTTATTGGAGGTTATTTTTCTACAGATTATGAGATATATAAGAGTGATTGTATATTTTAAAAGTACTATAAAGTATCAATTTATTTATATTTACATAGTGGAATGTAATCAATAATGAACTTATCTGATATGATTAATTAATTATAAAAATTAAATTACAGTTATTATGAATTTCTTATATTGTCATTTTATTTCAATATCATTTAATAACATATATTTAAATTCAATTACATATGCTGGAATTTTCTTTATAACTTAAATAAAAGTATCTTGTTATTTATTAATTTAGTATTAAATAGCCCAATTATTTAACAATTTATGAAGAAAAAAGTATATTTTGAAGTACTGTATCGTATAATTAAGTTATTGTTTCTTGATATCATTGATATTCTTGAATATT